ACACAAAGATACATACATACATACATACATACATACATACATACATAGATACATAGATACATACATACATACATAGATACAAAACGTGTATATATATATATAGATGAATAAATAAATATATATATATATACATATATATATATACACATATTTTTTATGTGAAAGTACAGAAAGTATACGTAGAAACAGGTGCAGATACAAGTACATCTACATCGAATCTATGCCGACCTGCATGTACATCAACATACCTGTACATATAAACCCGCATGCACATACACATGCAACTAGACATGCATGTACATACACACACACTCACAGATGGATGGATGGATGACTGGCTGGCTGGCTGGCTGGCTGGCCGGCCTTGCTGGTGGGTGGGTGGGTGGGTGGGTGGGTGGGCGGGCGGGTGGGTGGGTGGGTGGGTGGATGGGAGACGGATACAGAGAGCGGGGAGAGCGAGCCTACATACACTCAACTAATGTGCCTCTGCTCAAAGAAAACCCGCCCACTAAACTTCTGTGTTGTACGCTGAAACTCGATGACCTGACCTCTTCTCAGAGGCAGAGGATGTGACTGAATCGGTGCACGAGAAGGAGGAGGCCCGGGCCGCGGCCGGGACCAGGCCGGGGCCTCAACGAAAGCCGCAAAAACTGAGGGCAGGGTTTGGTTTCGGGTTTAGGGGTTCGTGATGCCAAAAAAGGGGCTCATGGCAGAATACATATAAAGGTTTAGGGTTTAGGGTTAGGTTTGCGACGTCGGAACTCTCGTAGGCTTCGGCGTACAGTCCCTATATCAATCGCTGAAGATGAAATCTCCTCATGTGTGTGGAGTGTCGGAGAGTATATAGAAAACCCATCTGAACCCGAAGCCTTAAATCCCAAAACATCCAGAAACAGAACCCTAAATTCTATAAACCCTAAACCCCTAAACCCCTAAACCCCTATAAACCCTTAAACCCTAAACCGTATCCCGGGCCTCCAGGGGCCGAAGCGCCGCCAAGTGGTCGATCCTCTCCGAGCGGATCGAAGGCCTGGCCAAGGAGCTGGGCAACCCCAAAAGCGTTTAAGGTTCATTTTTATGATATTATTAAGAGGTGTTCATAGTATAAGGGTATATAAGTGGTGGTGCATGGGATTTTGTAACTCTAACTCTTAGAAGACAAGGTGGAAGCTGTTTCGGAGCCAGCTCTGGGGTATTCTTGAACGTTGTGCTCCGGGACCTACCTCTCGAGCTTCAGATAGCCAGCAATTGCTTAAGTCTCTTCTGCTGTTTCCTGGCATCTAGAATGTCGGCCCGTTGTTCTCATGTAGGTCTATCCGTTCCAGAGGTCTTCGCTTTTGCACACTTTTTCTTCCGGAGAGGCTGAAGTGCGCGGTGACTCTTTCAACTTTGCAGGTCTTATTGTGCAAGTGATCCGGCCCACCTCAGAAGCAAACATAGTTCAGCAGGAGATGTACATGCTGATTGGATCCATGGACCCTTATGCCACGCTGCTGCACGCAGGAGAATTCATAGGGCGGTCAGTGTTTCTTCCTTCCCACAAAAGGAGGGCACTTGCAAAGGGACATTACCGGCATTCGAAGAGTGCCGAAGTTTTCTAAACGACTACATAATGATGCAGGCTCCATAGCATAGCAAAAACCTAGCGGAGACGACTGCCTCGAGGTCCGAGATCATTCGACTGCCGAGGGCCCGGCAATGAGGGCTATCGCGAAAAAGATGGCTGAGACCGTGCCTCGGCAAAGAGGGTCTCATGTACATCTCAGAATATCCATCATCTTCTTCGCATAAAGCACGGTCTTACTCTGACTGACTCACGATAGACTTCTGCGTTGAGTAATGTGGTCGTTGCTTTTGTTAGTTGCTTTGCTACTTCTGTTCATTCCGATGGATGCAATTACTAAGACTTTCGCCGGCAGAGCTTGGCAGGGCTTTCTCTGCAGATTCGTAGTTGGACAGACCAGTCTCAAGGCTCGAAACACAGTGATTGGCTTTTGGCTCGGAGGTTGCCGGGAAGGGTCCAGTAGAAGGTTCAGCCCAGCCTCCCTTTCCCAGGGCACTTATAGTTTCCTTTCGGGACGGTGCTGTAGCAGCTTCTTCCAGATGTCGGACTCGGAGAAAAGGCGGTGAGTCCCTCGTCAATGACGATGGGTCTAATTAGCACCTGTACCCTCTACCGAAAGCCATCAACCGTTAGAGCCTACCTTGGCGCCCCGTTTGCTGAGGCCTGGGCGGACCTGGCAGAATCGAAGACGACCATGTTTTCCTACGGAGCCTCTGCTGCAAGGTTTTGTCAAGCTCCAAGGAGGGAGGCAGCCAGAACTCCTCAAACAAAGCCGCCTGTTGTTTGCCGCTTTCCGCCGGCGACCCATACCCGCAGCTGAGGAGAGGAGATGTCCACAGATCCCACGGAGGCTCAGTTCGTGAAGATGCTCACCTTCATGAAGCAGCCGAAGCAGGTGCTCGAGGTCGGCATGTTCACAGGCTATGGCGCCATGGCCATTGCCGAGGCTTTGCCGGCCGATGGGAAGATCACTTCTCTGGATATCGATCCTTTTCTGAAGACCTGGGTGGAAGATGTCACCAAAGACTTCCCGGAGGGCGCCAAGCATGAGATTGTGGTTGGCCCGGCACTGGACTCATTGCAAACCATCGAGGGCAAGTATGATCTCGTCTTCATTGATGCCAACAAGGCCGAGTACAAAGCTTACGTAGAAACGCTTCTCGAGAGAGACCTGCTGCAGAAGGACGTGATGATCATAGCGGACACCTGGTTGCACTCAGCCTGTCTGCCGTAGCATATGGACGCACCTCACGAACACACTGTTGAGCCTCGAACATTGACTTCGAGATTTCCGGCCAATCATCCACGTATTTCACGCACAAGGGGATGACAAGGGTACCATTTGAGCGGTGCGTGGCAGTGCATGGGCACAGTCTATGATGCCCCAGCATTGTCCTGAGGACAACACCCTCTACGTGGGCTACCCGATGCTGTCCCCTGGATCCAAAGGCTTGTCGAATTCTGGGGCTAGATCTCGTGGCAAGAACACTTTGGTCCATAAACATTCTGTCGTAGATCTGGCTCCATGCGGAGTGACGGCCAGGCACACTACGCGACATTGTTGTTACTCCTGCTTCAGCCTCACAGTGATTTCGGACAAGGTGTTATGTACATTGGTTCTTGCCCGTGGAAAAACTCAAATCCCTAGACCCTATAACATCCTGAAAACCTTATGACCCTTCTAGTAGTGCTTTGTGAGTACGACGGAGGTTTTGCGTAGTAGGAAGCGGCGATTGTGGAAGCCGAAGGATGTGCCTTCGCTCACTTGGGCCATGTGCCTTCCGAGAAGATAAAACCTCGCCCGGCTTGTCCCAGAGTGAGTGCTGACACTTAAGAAAGCCGACACCGCTCTTAGATCGCCAGCCGACAGCCGAGGTCCGAGACCTACGACACTCAGCCGGCTCGCCGAGGCTCGAAGAGCCTTCTCAAAGCTCTGCCGAAGCTCAGGAGAGTAACTTGGGCAAAGTAGAGTCTTGTAACTAGTGGAACATAGCATAATATCGTATACTTTTGGATACGTCAGGCAGGCAGCACCAGAGATGGCAAAATTGAACAGCAGAGAGACAGAGAGCGAAGAGAGCATCATGCTTAGGTGCCTCTGCCGTGCACCGAAGCCTGTCCCGCTTGGAGGCTTTGGTGATGCCGTTCGGGAGTTCAATGCCTGGGTGCGTGACCACCCCAAGCTCGAGCAGGCTCGCATTTACATCATACTCACTCTCCGCTCTTAGAACAGGGTGGGGTTTTCGAAACCATGTGGATCTTTCTGCGCATGGGGCCTTCCAATTCTACTTCTTACTGTCGTTGAGATGATTGTGACATGGCAAGTGTCTTTATCTAACTGGCTGTCAATGCTGCAGTGTGTTGTGGGAGCCAAAAAGTTATCGTTTCGAGCCCTTCTAGCATGACATCGCGCCTCCTCGAGTCCTCGGGGGGGGCTGCGTGATACTCAACTTGACTGCACTTGCATCCGCACTCGTCCGCAATCCGCATCCTCTTTTCCTCGCCACCTGATTCCCTCGCCGGATTCATGTCTGCACACTGCTGACATGCTCCGTTCGGGTTTGGGCATCGTTCCGTTAGTCTCCCGGTTTTATACCGGTCTACTTGGAAAGGCCATGCAGCTTTATATACATGAATTTACCCGGCGATGTGCTACACCTCGACAACCTTTCTTTCACCACGACAGATTCGTCTTCGTCAGGTGATCGTGCCTATCCGCGACGGCGTTTCCATGATCCGCCTGAAGTGATCGCCTCCGCCGCGAAGACTCGACTCCTTGCTTCCTTGCTTCAAGACGTTTCGGGGCGGGCGTACGCCCAAGCCCCCAAAGACAGATCCCCACAGCTCTGAACTGCGACCTGTAGTTTTAGCCAGATGTCTCCGGACTTTCTACTGTAACTCGATTATTTTAAGCTTACAACAAAGGCAGCCGGATCAAGAAGCCCTCTGAATCTGAAGTCCAAACCCTGCACCTAGCCCCTAAAACCTTCAACTATCCTGAACAGGTCGTAAGGCCTGAAGCCGTTTCATTTCTTTGCGCGCAACTGCATACGGC